GTAAAATATATTGTTTTAAACATTTTAATGTGCATACATCCATATCTGGCCAATAATTTCTTAGTAACAGCCGCTCTAATTTCTAGAGGTATGGTATGAAAAACGAGACTACCGTGTAACGCTATAGAGAATAACTTGATTTAATGTGTTATGAATTGAAATGTTAGAAATTAAAACGGATTTTATTATAAAAAAACATTGATCAAATTTAAATGATTGATATATTAACATTTTCAGAATGAAATCTTTTATATTTAAATTTTTTAAAGTGAATGAAGAGTTGTTAACATTTTTTTTTTCAGTGATTAAGGGATAAAAATAAAAAATTGTATTATTTTGAAAATAGATGTTCCAAAAAAAAGGAAAGCAGATTGAAAAAAATTGGACATTAGACATTGGCACCAGAAAAATCCGTTGAATACAGTGGAACACTCTGTATAAAATATTATAACATGAATTACGAATAACATTTACATAATTTTTATCGATATACAATAACAAATAACATCAAATTAAAAACAAATTATAAATATGTTATTGGCATATTTATAATATCGATGAATGTACTAACTACGCTGTATTAGGGCTCTAAATCTGATAATCAAACAGTATTTTTAAATTCTATAGAATATGTCTACAGAAAATGGCATGTTTAATAAATGTCTGCGAATTTCTTGAAAAAAAGCCCTAAAATGGAAAAAAGCAAAATAAAAGTATCACTTTACAGGTAATATTTTTAATAACCTTATTGTACATTTATTTTACGGAATAGAACAAACAAAGATTTTCAGGATAAAAATCACCGCACTGTATGATATGTGTGAATTTTCCGAGTGTGGCCATTATACGCTGTAAAACTTGGACAGTTATTACTTAGAGAAAAAGTGATTGGAAGCTTTTGAAAAATACTTAAGATCCAATAGACAAAAAGAGTAACAAAGTAACAAGTCAAGAACCGCTGAACAGAATTAAAAGAAAATCGAGGACTGTGACACAGTATTTAAGTCAGAATAAACGACAGCATGATCTATTACCGTGTCACGATATTTTGATGAAAGACATCATAAAACGGGATGTGAAAGGCCATATTTGAAGAATTAGACCAAATATATGGCATTAATGAAACAAATTATGGTTGACATGGACAAGGATAGCAACAAAGATTTAAAGGAATTATGTTACAAGGAGATTTGCAGAAAACCGATCGGATAATTGAAGAAGAGCGAGAAAAACAATTGTATACTAAGAATTAATGTAAAATATTCCTTTGAAAAAATATTCGAAAACGTAAAAATAATGACAAATAATATTTGATTGCTAAGATTAATTCTGCGAATCTAAGAATTTCTGTGGAAGTGATAGCAAAGAACCTATAAGAGCAAACGGAGGAGGGGTGTGAATAGAAATTTGGTGCTTGGCGCAAGAACAACTAATGTCACATATTTTTACATATAAACAGATAAATTATTTAATTTAATACTAAGCTATATTAAGGTTACATTGTTTTAATTGAAAAGAACTACATAGGTAAAATAATAAATATTTTTTTAAACCGTTACAGGGTTCAAGGTCTGATATACCTAAGCGGCTACTTAGAACAAAATTTTTAGTGTGAGGTTTAACATAGAAACAACGTAAATTAAGAGTATTTACTTTTGGTACATTTAAATATATTTTTTCCAGTAAACCAGGTCAGCCTATGGAACCGTATACAAAAAATATATCAATAAAATGTCGTCTAGGTTGCAAAAACTTCATGATGCACTGACGTTCAACTTCAGAAGTAGGATAACCGGTCAAATTGATTTTATATGCTATCATGCGAAGGAAAGTGGTTGTACATTTTCAATTTTATCCGTAAGACCTAGTTGTGTAGGGTTCCAGACAACTGAACCAAATTCAAGACCAGAACTTACTAATGCGTTAAAATTTTTAAGCAATGTAGGTTATTAAACCCTTCACAATTTCTTTTTAAAACCCCTAAATTTCAGCAAGCTTTAGCGCAAATAGTATTTATATGTTCATTGAAAGAAAGATCCGAAGATCATAAAATACCTAAGTCCCTAATAATGGTCTTCGTTCTTTCTAAATTCACATTATTTATTAGGTATTCGACTATCAGTGGGTTTCGATTTCGATAAAAATAAATTTATTTATATTACGTTTGCCGATATTTACGTATTCGTTTCTTTTTTTTTGATATTGGCCCTTCTTGCACCGAGCTCAAGAGCACCAGGTTTTGAAAAGGTCATGGGAGGCAAGGGGGCTCATTATTTTTTGCACACATGTACAGATTTACCTAAACCTTATCATATATTTCTTAATTGTATTTTTCTTAAAAACAATTAGTAAAATATAGTTATTTATTGTTTTGTATTTTATAACATTTTAATAGTATTATCATCATTAAATATCACAAGACAAAATTTAAAAACGCCAGACACCAGTTAACCAAGAACCTGGTTGATTACCAAAATCTACGCTTTTTCTCTGCTAGCAATATCCAATAAACAAAAACATTTATCATTTTCAATTAATTTTGTTATAGATAAAATTGGTATTTTGAGGATATACATGAAAAATATAAATTTTTTCTTGTGTATAATATGAGAACCGCGGGAGGCTGAGCTCAGTCTTATCAAGCTCGTGGGGGGCTGCAGCCCCGGAGCTGCCCACTGTACACGGCGTCCCGACCAAGTCACTTGAATGTATCGAGTTCCGGACCCTAGAAATACCGCGGAAACCACTGATAACAAACAAACTCGATAAAACAACAATTATATTCGCGTACGCGATTCGATGCAGGGTTAAATGAATCGAGTGTTTTTCGTAACGTAATCCCCGCGGTATAAGGCTTTCTGTTCGAGATCGTCGTTCGCGTGTCACCGGCCATTCAATTTAACAATGCTATTATTGTTAATATTTCGCGGCGTTAACCATAATAATAATATATTATTATCGCCATCTTCATAATAATAATATAATCACGATGACCCGCAGCAGCACTTGAGCGAATCGTATACAGTTGCGGCGCGCCAGTACGTAATTCATTACTCGGTATAACCGCTGCGGCGATTTCGTAATATCAAAAATAATAACAACGATAATTACACACGGATTAAACGCCGTCGCTGCCGGGAGATAACGCGAAGAAATGAATCGTCACAAATTTAATATTATTATAGAAGAAAAATAAAACCTTGTAATAATAATAAAACGAAATAAAACGGGCAGCTCGTTCTACAATACGTGCGAACGCGGACCACCCACCGGCGTAGACCATCACGTCCGTAGTATTATGTTATAACTCACTCAGAACGTTATCTCGTTAATTAACGAGCGTACATCTCATTTCGTTTTGTAAACGGAGTATGATCGTACGGTCTGTGTCCGACGAGGATTTCGTAATATATTTCGCCTGGGTGAAAGACCAAATCGATAGTCCGAATCCGCCCGGGGTCGGCGTCAGGGGTACATAAGAAGATCACGCAAAGGGGATAGACATACGCATCATCGTACCTAAACCAAATTTTAATTCAAACGTATAAAAAAAATTCCCGGCAATTGTTTACAGCAAATACGGACAATTCAAAGAGGCGCGTGTGCCCACACGTGGATTCGTGACGGACACTGCACCGTTAAATAAAGCTCGTTTTTAAACGATTTTCAACAGAAAAGAAATCGTTTAAAACGAATATTTAAAAAAGAGCTGAAAATGCTGAACGGGTGCGTCACTGTTGTGGGTGCAAAGCTGGGAAGGTAGTATATATATAAAACTATTTAATTTATATCTGTACGCAGCAAAGACAAATTGTTGTTGACGAAATACTAATAAATTCTTCGTGCGTTCAGAATCTAAAATTTGTTTCGATAAAAATATGGAAAAACAAAAATTAAATCGGTTTCTGTCGTATGATTTGCGTTTTTAACAGACCATTGGTGGTAGTTGATGAAATGTTATAAATATGATACACTTACCTGCCAGACTTTTCGATCATAAAATGTATTTTCTTTCTTTTGTACCTAAAACCCAAACAAATAATTAAGTTTCCAAATTTGATTGGGATTGATAAAATTGAGTACTCAATATCGTAATATACGAGTTCAACAGTATTACTTTTCCATAGATTTATCTGAAAAGCGTTTTTTTATCTCTTCAAAACGCGATCTTAATAGCTCTTAAGAAACTGGATTTAAAAACTATCCATTCCAGTATAATTGATTTTTGAACATATTATCTAAGGCAATATACGAAGAAATTAACGTTTAACCACACCGGTATTGAAGTGACAAGGGAAATCGGAGTTTGTTGAGTTTTTAAATTAAATGCATTTTCGTCGAACGTCGGAAAATCTTTCCTGACCAGCCGTACGACAGTTAGATGATTTTATTTTTTAACCCAAATACAACCTTGAACCTTTCGCATAATGAACCAGAAATGTCCGCGACCGAAGCCGCGTTCAAAATGAGCGTGAAAAGTAAAACTTGTCCGCGATGATCGCAGCGGGACCTCTTCGAATGCCGTCAAAACACATCATTCAACGTGTCACTATCAAAGCATCGCTATCTTCGTCACTTCATTAAGCCGTCGTCACGTTTGACACACTGCAGTATACCGTGTGACACCACGGATATTGAGTGTTGCCGTGTCTGCAGTGTCGCACACGCGAAAATCGATGTGTATTTTCGCGATAAATAATATCAGAAAAAAAAAAACGCGCGCACACGGCTTTCATCAGCGAGTAATAAATTTATCGCGTGTATGCGTGATATTACGTTGAAAAAAAAAATAAAAAAAACATAAAAACTGGTTAATAAAACACAGCGTTGGCCAGTATAGTAGTCGTAGGGGGAGAAAAATGGCAGTTATGTCTCCCGCAGCTCGGCCGCAGGAACGACCGGTGTGGGTATAATGTCAAAAAAAAAAAAATAAAATAAAATAAAAAAACTCGTATAAAATACGAGTATATAATAGAATACGACTGCGTTTCGAGAAAACATAAAATCGTTTATTTTCATTTCCAATTTAGGTTTTCGTCTTACAACAGAAAACAAAAAAACACTGTAGGGGTATTATAATAGGTACATATGATACTATAATAAAGTATATTATTCAAATAGCGTGGTTTTTTTTTTATATTACTACAACATTAAATTATACATCGGAAGCCGATATTACGGCAAAACAAAAAAAAAAACCCCCCCCACAATCAATTGTTATTATAGGTATCATTTTTTTAGTAGGTATATAGGTACGCGATACGTTTTTTTTTTTAAAAAAAAAAAAACTACGCAACGGACTTTCGCGAAACATAATTGTTTTTATTATAACATATACATATATTCTTGTTGGATCGTTCGGGTAAACATAAAAAAAAAATAATTAAAACGAAAACAAAAAAAAAATAAAAACGATTCTGGATTTTTGCGGACTAACGGCATCCGCGTATAATATACGCGTTACACAGTGGCCAGCAGGCGTCCTCGCACACAACCATCATGATATCGTAAATATTGCGCGATATTGCGTGTCTGTACCCGTAATATTATTACGGTATTACGATATTTCAATATTATTTTCGACGATTTATACGCGCCTCGCGAAAAAAAAAAAAACAACAGATCTCTCGGGATTTCACGCGCGATACTATGTGCCGGACAACGGGTAGCGAGAAACGCGGTTCGAAATACGCTATAAACCGCCCCCGAGTACCGGTGCACTTGCATCTAATGAATGTTGCACAATATTGAATTACCGCTAAAACGTAAATATTATGTACAATAACTAAAACCTAAAAAAAAAAAAAAATTATATAATTTAATATTATCGTCGTTATTATATCGATTAACCTAATAACACTAATTATTAAGGTCGATTTTTAGCACCATTCGTTATTTTATAATAATAATTATTATTATAATGTATAGAGGAGAACTCGCGTCGTCGACAAATACAATGTTACAATATTTATGTACCGTTTTTTTTTACTACTATACAATACGATTATAATTTATATATTTGTAAATAACTAATAATTCATATCTTGTGTATCGTCAATATCAATGAAATTTACAATAATAAACTGATGTAAAATAAATAATATACCACGGTCCAGGACCGCAAAAATATCGCTAATAATAATAATAATAATTAAGTAACGTATCATAAATATAGTATAGTAATAATAATTAATAAAAAATATACGAAAACAGAAAATCAAAAAAAAAAAAAAAAAAATAAAAAAAATTTTACCACAACGTTAATAATATCGTTACGATAATAATTATTGTTGTCTAAAACTTAAATACACCGGCAGGCAATAATGGTAATAACAATCGTATTATTGTAGGCTATATTATTAGACGCGGCTGCGTCCTCGAAATATCCCGTTCGTCGTCGTTGTACACGTACTTATACGTATTATTCGTTTTAAACGTCCGGGGGGGATGGTGGTGGTGAAGGGGGGGGGGAGGGTTCTGCGAGATATTTACCCCGTCAGTACAATAACATCCCGTTGGCAATTATTTAATTAAACGCATCAATAATATTATCGTAACAGTTATATTTTTTCAACGCGATATTCGGGGTGTTTTAAAACGGGATATTCCGAGAGGGAACCGGTTTCTTTTTAACGTTTATTATCGCTGCTGTCCCGGGGACTGCCGGTGGTGTACCGCAGTCAATGGCGGCCTATGCCGCAATGTCATGACAGATTACCGTCCTCGGGATACCGACGGTGATGATGACGTGATGATGGTGATTGGTAATTATACCGGTGATAATTGTGATTATTTTATTATGAAGACGGTGATAGTAATAATAACGTTCGCGTTGGCCGGGTCGCGACGCTCAGGTCCTTTGAACGGGCGCCGGTATCCGGGTGACGATCGGCGAATCGGGTTTCGAATCTTTCCGGGGGCTGGGCGCCAACACGGCGTACCGGTTGATCAGGTCGGCCACCTGTTGGCAGAACGTGTCCGCGGACAACTGCGGCCGCTGTTTGGACGTCCAGTGCCGGCCGCCGGCAGCGTTCCACGTGTTGTTCCGGCCCAGCGGCGACGACGACGTCGAAAACGGCGGCGGCGGCGGCGGTTGCCCGCCGTCCGCGGACGGTGACCTGCGGCTCATCCGGGGCGTGGGCGTTTGCGACCGGCTGATCGTCAGGGGCGGCGGCGTCGGTTGATGTCTGGACGACTGAGTCGTGGAACGGTTCCGGCGGAACGGAGACTGTTGCGGGCTGGGCGTCTCTTTGCCGCCCGCCGAACGGCTCCGGGGCGGCCTCGTAACTCGGGTGACTGGAGGTGTGCCTGCAACACAAAACGTAACGGAACTCGATTGTAAACGGGATGTATAATATAAGTAAATGTTTAAAGTCTATGGCGGAGGTGTGTTTCTATATTTTCTAAAGTAAATTCAATCCTCTTTTTGTTCTCATACGAATCAGTTGACTACAGGTACTGAGGGGGATTAATGAAATTCCGGTCGATTCGAACTATAAATTATTCAGGTAACTAATACACACATCGCGGTCGCGGTCGATTATTTTATCACAATGACATTCACTCTGCAACGATGACCGGCAATATTTCTAGATCCAACAATCCTACAATTCTAGTCATTTTTATATATACACATAAATAAATTTGTAAAAACGTGTTTTTAAAAGAAGAAAAAAAACAACAAGAAACGTCGAGTAAGACCTAAATACTATAATAACGAACAATCGAAAAGAAATTCGGACATTATTCGGTCGTTATCGCGGAAAACGTTGTAAAAAGAGAGAATTGCGTGACATTAGCAGCGTATACTTTCAATAAGAAATGTCTGATGTACATTTCAAATTATGTATAGAAAAATAGACCAATGATGAGTAAAACCAGTGTTTTCGTAAGGAAGTTAGATGGAGAATATAAGTGCATTGTACATAATTATATTATAGACAGTAAAAGAATGGATAGGGATCTCGTGTTTTTTTTTTTTTTTTTTTCGGAAAGAGAGAACATCGATTTTCTATACGTGATGAGGAGGGGGTACATTTGGGGGGATCTTTTTGAAGATTATGTTACAAAAACGCTTATATGTTATTCGTCTGTGCGTCCATTGCCCATACATTACGTTATCGTTATTTGTATTTTCTTAAAAACAATATACTCTAAATTCTTTATACGTTACAAATGTGTTTTTATTTTTTCATATCGCTTATGCAATATGGTTAAATGGTGTGATGTGTTGTACAGTGTAAAACAAAATACTGTACGCGATTCAGATCTGACATTTTTGCTGTTCGTAAAATGATTTAATTATTAATCGCTAAAAAATAATGATAATATTAAAACGTTTAAAACTGTTATTTTAATTAATTATCGAAAGTCGCGGATCACATAAAAATAACGCATCGATCGATAAGGTTTTATGTCCTATATCCGTTATTTTTACTGTCGGTATGACTATACGAGGATATGTAGAGTAATTTGATTTATACCTGCACGGAACGATAAGCCATCGCTAACGAAATACAATATTCCGAGCAGAGTATAATCATACTAATCGTATTTGTCCGCTTGTTGCGACCCCACAAATCAATGAAGATTAAACGACAAGTTTTCGATTTTTCCGAGCTACTAAGATCGGACATTTTACAAGAAGGTTCCCGTCGGGTTTTTGATCGGAGCAAGACTTCCGGTAGAAAAGCAGTTTACACGTGGTCAAACACGAACAAAAACACATCGCAGTAATACGCATTGTCTATCGTGTTTCGTTCGGAGGATTCAAATCGCAAAGCGACCGATTCGCCAAACTGTTTACACGACGCGGGAGCAGTGAGAAGGCAGACGGCGATTAGTTGTGGCGAAGAAGGAACTGCAGGCACGGTTTTACACGAAACGAAACGGACGGATGATCGCCTAGCACGTAGGGAATCCTCACACCGGTCGGATCGCATTCGCGTCTGCCTGATATACAGGGTGTTATTGTTTTGTTTGAATCGCGAACCGCCTGTAGCGTTCAGATCGTCCGTAGGTCCCCGGGGCGCGACGCGCGATAAGTGTTTGTCCGTTTACCGTACGGTAATCGCCGAGCTCCGACCCCACGAGTTGCGCAGCAGTACCATGCACCTACATGGATGGATATTGCGTAAACGTTTACCGTCACCATGGACGGGACGCGTTGTGTTGTTATCGTTTCGTCGCGGCGGTTAAAAAATACACCGCGTGTACGATGATATCGTCGTATTTCGACAGACTTGCGGCGCGATCATTCGCTACAGCGTTGTAACGAAATCACGCGCACGGAATAACGCGATACGTGTTCCGCGCGGACTGTTATTATTCTGTATTATTGTCGTGACGTGTGCCGTGCGCGATGCGACGTCGTCGTGCGCATAAAATTGTTTCGTTTTCCGTACAAAAACGACACCGCCGCCACCGCAGTGACGATTACTACGGCACATTAATAAAATAAAGGTGCGGACGGTAAAAACAGTGTGTGTGTGTGTGTGTGTGTGTGTGTGTGTGTGTGCGCGCGCGTGCTGTTTTTTTTTTCGTCTACGTGTATATTATACAGGGTGATCCGCGCAGATATGATCATCGCTGCATATTTTTGTGGGCGAATTAGCCGTCAATTTTCGATTTTCAAACATGGGAATAACAGTAGCGCCGAATCCCGCGCACTTAAGGTCCCCGAGGTCCCACGAACCGACTTCTATAAAAAATCAAGCATAATTCCGGGCCAAATGTTGGGCCGCAAACCGAATGCATACTTCATTACGGAAATGAAAACCTACGCTAACCATAATTTCGAATATAAAACGAGCCGTGTTTGGTTTTTCGGGGCTTCTTGAAATGTATTTTGCAGGACTACATTTTAGGGAATTTGGCGCCGCTGAACAAGACCTATATTCAAAATTCCATAGACGTCGGTTTAAAATTTAAATACATTTTGGTGTTGAAACGTTTGATTTCCGTCAACCCGTTAACGAGATATTCTACGTTTAAGTATGCGTAGGGGAAGAGTAGACGGTGGCGCAAACAGGATTTTTTGAAGAGGGGTGTCACATGTATACATTTAAAATAAAAAAACTCGATTTTAACACGTTCATGTTAATTAAGCACCGATGTAGTGGGGTGTCTCCCAAAACACCCCGTCTGGTTGCGCCACTAAGAGTAGAGGAACACCATATTCAAACGCCATACAAATTACACACTCTCTCCCTACCTAAACTTAAAAGTGGAATATCTCGTCAACAGGTGGACGGAAATCGAAAATTCAACACCAAAATTTATTTAAACGAATACTTGTGTCTGTTTATTGGAATTTTCTGATATAAGTCGCCATTTGAAAATCAAATGTAGGTGGATTAAGGAAGACAAAAATTAATGTAACACTTTCGAACTACTAGTTTCTAAAATTGAAAACAAACAAAAAAAAATACGAAAAAAGCTACTAGTTTCCAAGATATTTCAACGATCATAATATTTACGGTACACCCTGTGTACTATCGGTTTTACCTACGGCTGTTTATTTTTCGACGGCAACAAATCGCCGCCGGTCGTCGTCGCGGGGTGACCGACTCTCACGTATAATATACGAGTAAATCGCTGCCGGTCGTCTCGCGTTGACCGTGTAAACGACGGTAAAATATTATATTATAGAACGGAAAAAAACCGTAATCGATTGCGGTTAACGCCGCAATAATAGAGAGATTTTTAAATTTATGTAGGTGTACAACTGCAGTAGACGAATACGACGTAAACCTATACAGCGATGGGCACGACCGAACGTTCACTGTCGGACTATTCGAATAGGTTCTCGAAATGTTCGGTAACTATTCCGTATTGGGTCATGGAAAACAAGAAAAACAGTCCAATAAAATATTCGATAGTTCATCTAAACTGTCGATAGTAAAAACTATTATTGTTAGGAATAAATGTCCATCATTATAATGCAAACGATAAATTTCTCGTACCTATCTGTACAATTATCCGTTTCTCGTAAAACAATTTAAAACAAAACAATTGTTTTTCGATCAATCGTTAAAATCCAGAATATTATCTTAGCTCAAAAATGTTATCGAATTTGAAAGAAAAAAAACTCTCGGTACTCACCGAGCCTCCCTCCCGATAGGATAAGGGAATACAACATATTGCGACCTGAAAAAAAATCCAATATTGCTTGGTCCGGGGTCTTTTCCCGGAGGGGCATCGGCTTGTGTTCGTGTTGGCATTTAAAATTTATAACAATCCACAGTTTGAAAATCGCGTTAGGTAAGAGTAGGGAGCAGTCGTCGGTAAATGATATGAAAAAAAAAAAAACGATAAGAATAAATACGATAGTGATAGCGTAATTTCAAATCTATATTTAAATTCGTAACGTATGAATACTGAATACAACTATAATATGTAATTGTAACATTGTTTCAATCAATTGCTTGTTTGTGAAATCAAGTAAAGCGAACGGAAGAAATCGATCGACAAAAAATCCCGATTTTTCATAGCAAAATCACGTCCGATGGGACGATTGTTATTTCACTACTAAATTTTATCATTTACCGAATTCTTATCATTTCCGAACAACGAGACGCGATAATATTGTGCATAAGAGATAAAAAGGCGGGGAGAAACGGGAAGAGAGGGAATGGGAAAACCGTTTACGCGGAGTTTATCGATTTTTTTTTTTTTTTTTTAATATTTTTTGATAAAAACGTGTATCGCGTGATGTAAAAAACGATCGACCGCGAGACGAGACCCGCTGCAGTGAATAATATTCATCACGGTCGCTGAGTCCGATTTACTTGTGTCGGGCGCGTTCGGATATCCCGCAGTGCGGATCGGTACTCGTAACAACAATAATATCGTATCGTGTTTTTTTTTTTTTTATTATTATTATTATTGTTATTTTATTAATCACGTCCGATTTCCAACGATTTAATAAAGACGAAAGTGACGGCGGCGGCGACGACGAAACCGCGCGCGAACGCCATTATATTATTCTTGTATACGCTTTCGATGTGGCGGCGGAGTGTTTCGAACGATTTTTTTTTTTTCCCCCCATTCTTTTTTTCTCGCTTATAACCCTACCTAGGTACATAAATAACAATATCGTACCGACCGAGTTTGTGGTTTATTTTGAAAACCGAATACTATACATTATGGTATGTGCAATGTCATACAGAGTCCGCGAGTTTATTATCGTTTCTCTCGTCCACTGCGCACACATTGTAATATGCCCGTACTGCATCACCTCCTATATAATATTATAGTCGACTATTATCTATTGTTAATTATTAACGGGTAAAAGTTTTTTTTTTTTTAGATCGATTTTTTTAAACGCGGCGTTTAGGAACCGGCGATTTTCTCGGAGAATTCCATACGAATTTGATTTCTGTTTTGTTTATTTTTTTTGTTTTTTAGGCAATACCAAGTTTCCCGTTCAACTGATATTCTTAGTGATAACGATCGAATAAATAAATATAATCAATAAACATATTTTTGACTCGTTATCATTTTCCGTAATACTCGTATACTGATTACAGACCGTGTTTGTATTTTATATGTCTGTGGTTACAGATTAATATCTTTAACGCGATTCTGGTTTTATAATCGGTCGAGTTCATATATAATAATTGATATGAACAATATATTAATCGCACGATACTATCGCCGAACAATGACGAAAGTGACAACATATTTTCCCGGTTTTTTGTTGTTGTCGTCGATCGTTTTTAGTGAAAAATTTAGTAAGTGATTTTTAGAAACGTCTCAATGGATCAACATTGTTGGCCGTCCATAGAGAAGTCCCAATTGATCCCGTAGAACTCATTGATGTACTGGCTCAAATATCACGAACAAATGATATAATTTTGTAAATTCAACATTTTAGTGGCTCGCGGCTAGCTTTTCAATACATTTTCATATACCCCCGCCCCCAATAAAAAAAAATCCCGAGAACGCCTCTGCGATCTACTATAATATAATCACGACGACGTTTTATTGATAGGAAAAAAAAAAGTAAAAAACTCGGTCGGTCAATTGTTCGAAGTCCGGCGCGTGCGACGATAGGCAGGACGTATATATTTATATTGTGTCTGTGTAATACAACGAACCGCGGACATGTTATCTCGCCCGAACGCGCGGTTTGAAAAATCGCTATGATAATAATATTTTATGTGCATCGCAAAACGTATTTTAATCAGCTCGCGCCGACATAAATCAACGTGCGCCTACACGTTAGAACGTGCACTACGACCACCACCGTAAGTGCATAATAACATTATGCAGTTTGACCTGTCCGCGGTACGCGCGGTTATAATAACGCGCCGGACGCGACACGCCACTTCACACCGCGCGCGCACCCTTTGGGTTCCTGTTCGAGCTCGGAGAAATACGCGCGCGGCTGTTTCCCCGTAAACCCGGGCGGCCGGTGTGTGTCCGTTGAACAACGGGTGCGGGCCGCGCGTGTTATTCAACCCGATCGGAATAAAACGCGTAGGCGACTTTGACGATACGGTACGGGCGGAGAAATAGAGAGAGAGAGAGAGAGAAAAACCCGTAATACACAAAACGCGCGGGTCCGAATCCACTACGCGGCGGCGGCGTAGGTACGCATACGAACGTGCACGTAATAAGTATACGATTTCGGCTCGGCGGCCGCGTGTCAGAATGTGGGCGGCCAATAACGGCGCGCGCGCGTTCGAAACGAGCGCGGATTAAATTATCGTCCGCTGGACCGTTAATGTTATGATACGCACGCGTATCGTACGTACGAGCCCGCGTATTGATATTATTTTATATAGTGCGACGGCGTATAGGCCGACGGCGACGGGGAAAAACACGTCGGTTTCGACACCGGTAGTCTCGGCGTGGTAATTTTCGTAACGCGTCGCGAGTGGGAAGCGGCGGCGGCGGCGACTATTTGTCGTCGCGGACTGGCGATCGGCCGAATCCGCGGGGACGGCCGGTGTACCGTATTCGCGCCAACTCCAAGCGGTTTTGAAATCGTTCAACAGTGTCGGCGCTACCGGCCGCTATTAAATCGCGCGCGCGACTTGCGCAAACCCCCGTTTTTCATACGGACGGTCGGTATTGTTATTAATATTATAACGCGGGTGACATCTGAAGGGGGTTAGGTTTTATTTTATTTGTTTTTTCCTCGAACGTCTTTTTGCCGCTACCGCCGATTCTCTCGGCCGTCGTTTCCGCGCTTCGGGTTCGCTCCGACGCGGAATTCGGGACTATAATTGTCGACCGATCGATTTACTGCTCGCGCGGACCGATCGTCTGCCTAGAGATCCGGAGCTCTAGATGTCGGAACACGTTTCGGACCAACTCTATCGGGATTGCCCGAGATTGTGGTAGAATAAGTAGTGCAAGACTATATTAATCCTGATAAGAACGAATCTCGTCTATTGTATGTGAGCGCGTTACACATACCGATACAAATAGGCAATTGCAAGCGCAAACAAATAACAATAAATAAAATGATAACAGGCTCCCTGACTACTAGTCCCCGCCCCATACGAATCGGTTTTGACTGTCAGAAACCAATCCCGAGACTGGATTAATTGTCGTGTAGGAGTTTGTGTTTTTGGCAACTTTGGCGGTGCTAAAATTACAGTCACATCAAAAACTCGTGGTGGGTGCTATGCCCCCACAATCCCCTTAACACGACTCTTACAATAGTCGTCTACACATACACCTTCCATTTACAAATTTTTACACATAAATCTATCATAAATGTCTTAACATTATTTTTCAAACACACGTGCGTTGTCTGCAGGAAACCTATATTTTGTTCTGCTCGTTAATTATGAAATACACGAATAAAATATTTAGTCGTTGATATAAAAAAAATTGATTGGGTTTTTTAGTGGTGCTGAGGACCCATATTACCCCCATAGTTGCACCTATGACGCCAGCCAAATCGTTCTATAATAACGCATCGTACCGAAATCGGGACAGGCGTCGTTTCATTTGGAAAGAGGTGTTTCGTAATAACACGGGTTTTTGCGTTTTTACGGCCGGAATTTTCAATAGAAGATTTTGAAAAAGCAATCCTCCGCCTTTCCGATGGCTTGTTCGGCTTAAGACGTGTGTCATATTATGTTCTGTATAATGCCTAAACAAATTATGTCCGTCCCCCCAAGAAAGTACCTATACTATTATACAAATAAAGAATACGGAATTTTAACGTAAATCCAGAAATAATACTTTAATACTATCTCTATCTCTCTCTCTATATATATATATATTATACATTATTCCTCTTCTGAGACCGGTTTTTTTCCCCACTGAAACAAAATAAATGTGTAACCCGAGTAATTATGTAATGAAATTTTGTTAATATCCGAAATTGTGACGAGATGCGAAACCGTCCGGTACGAGAACTACGTCGCAGGTAAAAAATTATGCATTCAATTATTGCGAATCGCGATGGTAACGAGCCAATAGGCTTCTTAGACATCGCTACAATCGTAGGAGGCGAGTATATTATAGTTTATTACACTGCGTAATATACCCGCAGACTACCTCATCAACATAATATTACTATTATTATTAAAAAATAATACAATCCGTCCTACCTGTTCGATCCTTCGCGGTTTTCGTACCTATCGCCACAACCTGTGGGTTCCCTCGCACATAAATAACACAATATAATATTATTATAATCGCATTCGTAAACTTTATAAACGCAATCAGTGTGGATAGAAACCGCATAATATACAGTTATTATAATAATATTATTGTCGTGAGAACGCGCATAAATATTATGATCAGTTAAAAAGCATGCACGAGATGACCATAATATTATCATACGAGACGGACAAAAACCACGATTTATTCTACCAAAATGCAAAGCGATATTCTAACATGTATTTGTTTTTGATGCAAAAAAACGAAAACATTTTTTTTTTTCTGTTTTTAAATCTACAAATCGTTTGTACACCTATATATACGCGGGGTTATTATTATTTTTTTTTACTCACTACAAGACTATTATATACTATAATACGAAATCTATATACTACCCGTACGAATAAAATATAACATACGTATTTCGGTACATAATTTAAAAAAAAAATATATATATATATATATATATATAAATATTATTATTAAAACGAGATTACCAATCGTGACAAAACGCTCGTAGCTATACGCGAGCGCGCGCGTAGGACGGTACCTGTGGTAACATTAAAAAACTAATTATTACACATAATTAATTCTTTGTGGTGGTCCTGCAGTGTAGTAAAATAATTATTATAACATGTGTTACGTGAATTAACCACGGTGTGTGTGGATGTGATGGTTTCGTGTAGTCCGACGACCGGAGGAATTCGTTTCGTTTTCGTGTATACGGTGAAAGAGATAAGTGGATAAAATCAAAAATAATAAACGGTTAACCCTAAACCGTCCGTCGTACTAATCGCGGCGGGCAGAGAAAAAAATGTTAACTCTGATTTTAAATGGAAACTTTACGCGGTTTTTTTTTTATACGACGGAAAAAACCACTAGTCGTTTATATTTGATAATATTTACAACCTACGTATATAAAACAGCAATAATATTCGAATTTTTTTTTTTTTTTTTTAAATTCTCCGCTTCGGAAATAATATTTCGGATATATTAAACGAAAATCGTTTTTTTAAGGCCGTTGACACGAAATCGCGGATACGCGGATTTACATCGAATTATAGATGTTTTATCTGAAATACCAATAGAATATATAGATATCAATGTCAATGTCGTCGGCGGTCCGAAAGCGATAAATTGAATTTAAGTAATAATAATAAAATTATGTTAATAACGCGTTGAGAAACGCGTGACACCCGCATGCGCAGTAGTCTCGATCAGTTACAAACGTGAAACATAGTGAATTTCCGTTCGGCAAGGCCATCATCGTGCTGTTAGCTTTAATATACGATTATAGATACTATATATATAGCATAATAGGATAGGACTGTCAACAATTATCCGCGGAAGTGAATCGACTGAATTCTAGAATGCTGGCGCTGATGTGAAGGTGTGAGAGAATATCGAGTTAAAAAATCCCACGTACATGTTTGACGGGACGTATCGAGATACTTGCGGATACGGAAACTTCCGACCGGATTTATATTGTACCGGTGTAGTACAAGAAAAATTGTGCGGAATTTCTTAAATTTCGACATTTCTCACACCGTCATGCGAGCGCTAGCAGTCTAGAATCCAGCTGATTTTACATGGGATTCACTTCGGTCCTATAGGTCGTTGGACAACCGTAATATCTATAATCGTGCTTTAATAATTCTAAGAATGAATCGATCTATTATCAAACTTAAAGGATAAGAACATTATCCGTGCAACGTTCGCACTATTTTCGCGATATTTTAACTCTTATGATAGATATCCGTATGTCAAATATCACAATTTAATAACGCTCATATCTCACGTTACGCGGATAATGTTCTCGTTTTTAAGTTTGATAATCGGTCAATGCATTGTAATATTTAAACTAACAAAGTCGCTCTTGCTGAACGCAAATTTTTTTGCTTTTTGAAGAAGTGTTTAATTATATTCTAATAATTTTGAAACATTACATTTGTTTTCCCTCAACTAAATATCCCTCTGTGCCCTCCACAACTCCCGAGTACGTACATATTTGTCGAAAACACCGTGAATCCGTAAAGTGTACAAATCAATGTGTGTATGATGCGAGTGACGACAATATAATAAACAAGTGTTTTTTTTTTTTTTTTTCCATCACACAATATTATAATATTATACTCGTAATACTATGTAAGCTTACCGTTGAATTTCTGCACAGACTTCGCGTTCGAGTTGGCCGGCGGTGAGGTTACTACCCCCAAGCTCCTGTAGCCTTCGTCGGACACTTCGGAACCGCTGTCCGTACCCACGGGTTCCTTTGCAGCGTCCTTGTGATGACCGGACGAATGCGACTTCTTCCTGCCCACAGACTGCTGCTGCAGAGGCCCGTCATTACACACTACCCTCAGGTTATCGGAAACGCGACGGAACGGCGTGGTGTCCACTTCGGACTCTTCTTCTTTGACGGTCGAGTGCCTTCTTTCGATGGCCGTCACGGGCGTGGGGTTGAGCACGTGATATTGTTCGGTACCTCGAAAGTTATCCGACACGCGGCATGTGGACGACGTGTCTATGGCTATGTCGTCGTTGTCACCGCCGCCGCCACCGTAATACGTCACGTCCGCACTGCTGGCTTTCCTGGAGCAACCGCCGCCCCGTTGCAGTGTGTCCACGGACGACTCTCTGAATAGCCGGTCGCCGATTTCGGTGGCCAGTTCCGACGTGAAGTTGAGCGATATTTTCGGAGTTGGCGTGTCGTCCACACCGCTGCAGTCTCGCCGCGCAGTCGACGGCGAGCGGCTGCGGTTGTAGGTGTCGTTGGACGGCTGCTGCATCAGTTGTCCGTTGTTGGGCACCAGCAGACGATCAGCGCCACCTCCGCCTTGCAAAGACGGCGATACGGATCGCTGTTTGCGTCTTCTGTTGGAAGGAGTCACCGACCTAGACCTGCAGCCCGCGCGTTGTACGCCCAAATGGTCCGTGGCCCGCGGTGTCGGACTCCTGCTCCTGCGTCCCGCAGCAGCATCCACGGGCGCACTCAGTTTGCACGTCGATTGCACCCGCGGCGACGGCGATCTACTCCGGCGACGACTCATCCGCTTGGCCGTGGCCAGACCGCCGGACGTCAGGTTTAAGCCGCCAGAGTAACCGCCGTTGCCGCTGCTGCCCGTGCTAGACGTGGACGAACGGCGCGTCCTCGGCGGCGATCTATATTTTGAGATAATACAGGTCACTGTTTAGAACTTGGGACCAAAATTAAACGCGATGACGTGATCCCGAAAGAGAAGCAGTGATAGTTATCAAATATAGGACTGTGAATTTAATGCACTAAAAAGCTATTGAAATAATACATTTTAAATCTCAGAAAATTAAAAAAATTCAAAATTTCAAAAATAAAACAACTTAGGTATCGAATTTCAATGAAATTTATGAATTTCGTTGTAATAGGTACGCGTGATACAGCTCTCGTATGGAACATTTTAATGACGGAAATACAAATCGTAAAATTCGGGTTCAATTGTATCATATATTCGATTTAAATTGACGAAAATATTAATAGTGCTGTTAAATAAAAATATAATAATAAATTATATCTAAAAAGGCAAAAACCAACCCAAAAAATCTCGTCAAACTTTGTGTTTAGAAAGCTGTGTTTTTATATAACCAACTAAAACGAATCTATTTTGCTACAAATTCACAGTCCTACTTATATTAGTGTCGTTAGCAGACGAACAAAAACCACCACCTAATATCTCGACCCGACGACGATAATGAGCGTTTAATAATATTACCGTTTGAGATTTTGACTCTATTTTTTTTTTATTATTTTTTTTTTTATAATATTACAGAACACGCGTCTCGTCCTAACATTTACGCCATAAAACATATAATATAATATTGTTATTTTCATACTTATATTCAAATCGAGAATATAATAACTAATAACTATTCTGTACCGTGGTTTTAAAAAAATTAATCGACATAACATATATTAGCTATATTAATTTTGTATAATTGGTTAATTTCCCTAACACCAATGGCGTGTACGCATAACTTTTTTTATGAAGGATCGGTGGTAACAAATTTCCTTGCGAAGATGTGTTTTTAAATCAACATACAAAATTGTATAAATTTATATGGGAAAATAAAAAACTGGGGAATCAGTTCCCCCTCCAAATCCCCTACACCTCGTGTATGAGCTCCCGTTTCCTATACCGGAGCAACATAAAATTACGCGAAATAGCCAAAATACTATATAATCGTTATCATCGCACAGAATACAATTGTGAAAAAAATCGATTTCGGTACCGACATTTTTCTGCTATTATTCCACGATTCTAGTGTATTATATTGTATTATTAACGCGCGTACATATTAGGTATATTAATCATTGTTATGTCTATGTAGAAAAATAAAAATAAAAAATACTGCATGCACACGTGCTAGAATATTGTTATGCTATACAAACGTATTATTATAATTAGGTATAAACAAAGTACTGACCTTTCGTAATGTACTTGGGCGTGCGATATTTCCAACGTGGGCCCGCCGCTTCTGACGCCCGTCAGTTTCGCAGACACCGGCGCTCGATGAGCTATATTTACGAGTAAAAAACGAATAGAAAAAAAAAATAATAATAATAAATGCATGCTCAAAACTACTGAAACAAAAAAAAAATAACTCTACAAACGCATGACCAAATCTACAATAACTAAATAACCTATTACTCTATACGCGTACGCAAAAAAATACGTATGTTGTGTGGTGTCCGGTGGGCATTTTTTTTTTTTATTTTTTTTTACGCAATAAGAATCGCGATTTCTTGGCGAAACACGGTCTACGCACTTGTATTAGTATTTATTATTATTATCGTCGACCTTGGTAATAAGAAACATAATATTATTATTATACATTATAATATTTGTTTTCCTAGCCGTCTATAAACTGTGTATACGCACTAATACGTAGGTACACGGTGCGGGCAGCGAGACATTATAATAACGTACGGCTTACTACACATACATATTCGTATATAGATACTATATTATTATAATAGTACGTAGTAATGTGTTTTTTTAGCATCAGACGAGGTACGAGGTTTTTTTTTTTTTGTTGTTGTCCGTTATACAGACAAAAAGTGACTTACCGGTTTTGCATCGACACGGATCGTGTTTGTCCAAGTAATGAGACAGCGTGTCCCAACCGCCGCCTACTCTGACCATAACGTGACTCCTCAGTATCTGCAGTATAATAATGTAATAATATAATAACAGTAACAATGAAGATGACACGGGTACGTGTGCACGTCGGATTCAACGACATAATATCGAATTTTATTATTGGAACCGAAGGATTTCGAAGAGTTTTTGATTTTAATGTCGTATTTTTTTCATTATTTGAAAATGCTCGAAAAGTTTCTGAGTTTTTGGATACGAAATTTAAAATTTGTATTACCCGCGCGCTAATACGATATTCGTTTACAACAAACTATCAAGTATAAGTACTCGTATATTATATTATTGGACAATAGGCAGGTCGGATTACAAGACTCTTAAGGGCCTGAGTTTTTGTCACGGTTTATGTTTTTTATCTATGCATTTAATCATAAACTTGGTATTTTTTGACGTTTGAATATCTTTTCGATGGTAACTTTTATAGCGGAAAATGCTAGATATATATTTATGTATTATGTTTTAATCAAAGAAGTATAGTTATAAATTTCGTTGTCTATGGCAAAACTAACGTGGTATATTTAAAATCACTAGATTCCATGTTTAATAATCTGTTAAAACAATAAAATCAGAATAAAATAAATCAAAATCTAATATGCCTGTTCTGTTATAGTTCTGTGAGTAAAAATGTTTAAAATTTCTATTCGAATATCATTAATACAAAAATTATTAAAAACAAAATAAATTTGGGGCATAAAAAAGGAAATTTTTTTTTAAGAGCATTGGTTAGGATTTTATAGGACATTATGTCCCCTGCAGCCCTGTTTATTATTCGTCGGACAAAAATTCTTTACGAGACCGACGTAGAGCTATAGTATTATAATTGCGATATACTTACCCTGACAAATATCAAAACTTTAGTATCGCCAATACGGTATTTTCCTTCGGACACTCTGATCATCGGGAACTGGGTCGGACACTTGCACCTTTCTACAAGATCCCGTACCTGTAGACGAAAAATAATAATGATAACCAACACGGTTTGACTAATGTGTATAAAAAAAAAATAATAATAATAATAGCATTTTGATGAGATTTTGTGGGTACGGCAACCACGTCGACTTTGCCGAACACGGTAATTTGTATTTATTTGACATTCGAACGTTTTTTAACATTGGTTATATGTACGCGAATTTTTCCCAGCGGATTCTAGTGATGACGAATCATTCGCATCGGATATATTAGAAAGTATTCGTACACCGAAATTCGCGAATTCAATTTCATAGAGTACATGGTAAAACAAATTGGAAAATAATAACCGTATAATCGTATACAAACTATACCTAACCTATATTGATAGGTATAAGTAAGGAAAAAAATTAATGATAAAAAACGATTTTTAAAACTCCTGCACCCACTCTTCCTTCATCTGATGTTGATTAAATACCTTTTGCAAAAAAAAAAAAGAACCGTCTAAATTTAAGTTCAAAATTCAGGAAATACAAGGTAACTACTATAATCATAGTACATAAAAAGCTGTCCAATAGTCATTGAAAACCTCCTTATTTTTAAAGAATGAATGTATTTTTTTTATAACCTAGTAAATTTATGTAATTTTCATTTCAAAAATTTAAGTTTTAGGGAAGTAATATTATTTCTGAAATTCATAAAATTAAATATTCGTATAATGTTGTACAGAATTGTATAATACATTGACGTTTTAGGTAATAAATTATAAAACCGCATAACCTAACCACAGCATTTGATTGGTTTATTATTATTATTGTTTATTAACATTACACAATACGTTTCAAATTGATTTTTTCACCGTTACAAATAGTAAACACGTTTTATAATAATACGAAATAAATATACAGTTATAAAGTATTCTAATTTTATAACTGTATTGGAGTGTTCAATATTATGTTTATTGAAGAATATAGCAATTTTAAGATAGCATCAATAATGAACTGTAATTAATTTTCTCGTATTATCAAACATCAAATAATAAAAATATGTTATTATAAATTAATGTTTATCATGATTTTTCAAGTTCTTAAAGACAATAATTATATATGAAATAGCTATTTAAATATTATACAATATAATAGTTATCAGCCCACATCAATGTCTTTACCGAAATAACTGGTTTCAATTTCATAATTTAAATGATTTTTTTTTTTTGGTATTTATTTTATATAGAAAGAAATTTCATAAAGATTCGTGTGTAGTCCCCTACCATATAAGGTCCCAAACGAAGATCGAACATTGGCTACAAAATATTGGGATGACAAACTGCACATTGTTGTGTAACGTACAAAAAATAATAATTTTAGACAATAAGTTGTACCGAATATTTAGATTGGTAAGCATGCAGCATTTATGGAAATTACGATATTTTCAAAAATTAAAACCTAGTACAGCTCTAAGAATATATTGAAATTGTCTGAAATGTGTGTAGTCTTTATGTTAAAATTATACATATAAATTCAACAATCTGCAAATTGAATACAGATAATATAGGTATACTAATAAACAATAACTACTATAGAATAATTTTTAAACTTCGAAAAGTTTCAATACTTTTTTTATGTAATCATCTAAGAGGACGTCACATCCGATGCGGGCGACGTACAGCTGATGCAGCAGTCAGTTTAATAAAGCGAGTGCGAATGGAGGTGGCAAGTGCGAATGAATAAACAGTTTTAACGGGCAGCATGGAAAAACTACATTACTATTAGACCGTAAATTCTGGCGTTGAAATTGGAGTTTGAACACAAATAACAAAATGTATAAAATAAAATACTTACGAGGGTAATACGAAGTTTATATCCAAAAAAAAATTGCACACAAAAAAGTTACAGCTACCTATTTAAAAAAATGCAAAAACTAACATGGATGTAATTTGTTCGCAAAAAACCTGCATAGATACAGACCTCGGAAATTCTTTACTTTGAAACTTTTCATATTCATGAAAAAACTCTAATTCCCATCTAAACGCCACTATTTACGTAATAAGGAGATAATATAATTTTGCCACGTCGTGCGTTCGTATAATGACGAAGATAGCGCATACGAGTATGATATCTTCTTAATGTTTGAATAGTGAAAAACAATGTATATTAATTTCCCTATACAACAACGGTTTTCAATAGGTGCACATAATGCATCGGTTTTACAATAAACATGCGCCGGCAAGTGGACTTTCTTTGGCATTGCCGACTTGTGATTTTTTTTTTTTCTAATTAGCATTATAACTGCGCATTTCACTGAATTTATTTTTCGTGTCATTGTACTAAATTTTAATTACGTCGGTCGGCTCGGCGTATGATGTGATGGTGTATCAATCACAATCCAACTGCGTTCGTGCGAGTTGTGCCCCGGGTACGCCACGCCGGTGGCTAAGGTCGGCAACTTCTTAACGCTTTGTTTTCACTAATTCGCAATGTCACGATGTTTTCTTTTTGTCCAATAAAATCAAGGTTATGCGAGGCGTTCACCCGGAGATAGAAGAGGAATACACTACGAATTTTATCCCGAACATCATGGTGTAAGTAAATAAAACCAAAAAATAAAATAAAAAATTAAGCATTTTGTGTCTCAGTATTAAAATAATAATGATGACCTGGCAAACTACCTAACCGAAGTGTACTCGATACGCGTAAACTAATTAAATGTTAATTTATACATCACGACGTGGAATAAAACGTAAAAATAATTTTTTTCAATACAAAAAAATTACAAAATAGTCATGTTTTTTTTAAGACACACGACTAAATTTACATATTATTACAAATTATAGGTTTTTATCGAAATAATGTATTTTATACACAATATTATATTATATATTTTCCACGCTTTATTCGATAAAATAACCGCCTTCCATTTATTTATTTTTTTATAACCTCAATTGTATATTATACTTGTCCATTAAAACTGAAATGTAAAATGTGCAATTATTTTTATTTGTAATAAACTACGCTAAACGCTATTATTTAACATCATGATATTTACAAGTTAATAATTACGAATATAATATTTCTGTTATTTGTTTGCGCTATTTTCTTATTATTACTACAGCCAATAATTAACAAAGATTAGATAATATTATTTTTAACAAAAAATACTCGTCTCGCAACATATTTTTAGGTTTTACACATTTTTTTATTTTTACTACGATAGTCTCAGTCAATACTTTTTTCTTTTCTGACCATTCATAATAATGCTATAAGCAACGAAATTAATTTTCAAACTGAAATAAACGTAGCTAAATGACATAATAGCGATTTCCGCCGCATTATTTTAAACTATTCGATAAATATTAAAAAACTTACCATTTCGTCTAAACTTTTTAAATCGTTGGTAACAATTTGAGGCAGCGGACTATATTCCGTCAGGTCTTCGCCGTCGCTTAAATCGGTATCGTCGCCATCGTTGAAATCGGTGCCTTGTGAAAACTGGGCGTATTTTTTGTCAGCTGCAATTTCTCGGTCGATCTGCCGTTCCATTTGCACTAACATCGGGGCTGGTACGCCAACCCTAGCACCGCGTCTAGCGACCTAGTAAAACACGACAACCGGTTAAATTAATACTATTGTTTTGTACAAATTTTATTTTATTTGTTTTGTTATATAAATGATACATACTTCTAATAAACATAGAATCACGTGTTTTTCATTTTTGCGCATTATAAGATCGTCGGTTTCGAACAGCAGACACTCGTACACGCCAAGTCCGTTCCGGCACCAAGTGATGAAATTCGAAACGTTATCCCTAGCGAAAAATGTGCCTCCTTTAGCGCCGGGTAAATATCGGACGGCTGGTAACTGGAGGACTATGCTCGCAATGCCGCTAATATTAGATTTCCCAGCTGCTTGTCTTCGATTTACGTGTTCTTCGGCATAGTTCCTTACACAATTCGCGTGCTACAAAATAAAATACCCATTATGCTCTATAATATTATTACTTTAAAGTTATTGTATTCAAGAAGATTTAAAGAAATGTTTATACGATAAACTAGAAATAACTATTATACAAATAGGTATTAAGACTGCTAAATGAAATTTCTAGCGATTCGTGATTATTGATTGAATTATCCTTGAAATAAAAAAAAAAATCAACCGTTACCCATAATCATATACCTGTGTATTTTTAAGTAAACCGAAACAATACAAAATTCACTCCACTCTCTGTACACCATAATAAAATATAGGTATAATAATAATATTGTCCGTCGCAATCAGATAGGTAATCAAATAACCATAATTATTATTATTATTATTATTATTTGCTAATATGCAGGACACCTACGTACGGTTTTCTCGTAAAAATAAGACGTAATATTTACCTACTATCGAAACTTTATTGATGAACCTATTAACCGTGTTCTAGTTTTTTTTTTTTTTACATGTCAAGGTTATTAATCGGAATAGTGAGCATTTTCTGTAAACCTCCATCGTTATTTATGCTACGGCATTCACTACGTTACGATACACGAAATGTGCATATTATTTGCCAATATAGACATCGTACAGCAGTTAAGTACAATAAACCGTGCGAAACGACGTTTATTCCAGAGCTCGTTCGCGGTGTTAACTATACAAACTTGACATATTCTATAATGTCGCTGGACCCTTCTACGTGGCGAGCATATTATGAATCATACAATACATTAACCGCACAAATATTATATTATATGCTACGGTTAATAATAATACGCTTAGTATATACTCGATTAATGTTTTAATCGTTTCGTTATATTATTTAGTTTAGAAATAAAAACAACCGCAAGTATAAGATCTGGCTATGCATTTTATGTAACGGTACTCGGGGTACATACTCGGTACAATCATGGATATCGACCAGTTAAAAAGGCAAATTCTAGTTAATTTTTCGTCGACTAAACTATATTTGAGTATTAGTTGTACAAACTTGACTTGTTAATTTCCATGAATACCTAAACTTCCGGACAGTTCTAGTTTATACATTTAACGAGTTAAGGACTAAAGATTTTTATCAAAATTAAATTTTATTTGGCTGTTATTAGTAGTTAGTACTATATGTAATACAATTTATCGTGATAGTTTGTACAGTTTATTTTTAGATAAATTTAAAATACTTAAATATATTTGACTTTATAATGAATATTTCTAATGTTGATTGTTGATTTTTTTGTAATAAAAAAAAATAATAATAAATTTGTTTAACTAGTCGACATCTTTTTGAATTTTAATTTTTAACTTGACTTTTATCTTTTGAATATTGAACTTGGTTTTTTTTTTTTGTTTTACTTAACTTAGTCAAGGCAATTATATTTATTAAATTGACCACATAGATGCATACAAAATTTAAAATAAAAATAAATGACACATAGATAATATTATGTTTACAAAATTAGGGCATTGTGTTAAAAAAAAAAAATGTGTACATAAAAATAATCTATAATGAAGTAAAACGTATATTATTTTGATACTTGATACTTTGATGGTTTTCTTTCACATTATTGTATTAGGTATATTTTAATTACAACACAAGTAAATTTTAATTTATTTCAAATAAGAACAGATTATACATTATAATAGAGAATAAACCGTAACACTAATACGGTGACTTTGTATGTATTATTAAACTTTAATGCATTTACAGGCAAGATTTATTTAGGTTAATCCGTTGTTACCCGCGGTCACTGTAGTGCAAGGTTAAATTTAAAAAGGTTTCTCACCTATTTGTACCCTAATCCGTGCATACATGCTTACGTTATAAATACTAATACTTGCAGTGAACTTTTAACAAGAAAATTTCTAAAAAAAAAAAAAATGGCATAATATAGGCAAATTGTCCATGAAATACTTATTTTTCGAAAAATAATTTATGTTCTAACTTTTGGAATCAAATATATAAAATGTTACACTGCTTTTACTTTGTCCCTTTATTTTTGGAAGCCATTACCCAATATTGACTTTAAAATAGCAACCAATATTAAAAATTCAATAGTCTTCGAAAACTAAATCTTCCATGAAGTCTTAGATTAAATACCTTTTGGTATTGACAATTTTAATTTCCGTATACAGGTTGATTCGAAATTCCACTTTTAAGTGATTTAAGCACCTAGTGGTTTCACGCCTTAAAATAAGGGCATCGAAAAATAATCGTTATGTAACATTTTAAAGCTACTTATTTCTTAAATTAAAATTTCAAAATTACTAAAATTATTGACATTTCTTAAAGTAGAGCACTATTTAAACGCCACTACTACGCTAATGACTCGTCTACTGGAATATCTCGTCAACGGGTTGACGGAAATTAAAAATATTAATATTAACATTTATTTGAACTAAAACTTCGTTTATTTATAAATTAAAATTTTTCATATAGGTTACTATTAAAAAATAAAAAGTCGGTAGTGGTTTCATCCTTAAATATAGGGACAATATAACATTTAGGAATATACGATTCCAAAACGTTTTTACAAAAATACTAACATAAGTATTTTATAAAAAATTTGACTGCAACATGAAATTCAAATGACCCCATATGTTTACAAAATATATGCACATTTCGTTTTTTCAAATAATAAAAACACAGTAAACCCGAAGCATAAAAACACGAAACTTCGAATAAATCAAAATCAGTTATAATAATTACATGACGATTCGATGTTCGTATAAAGTTCTTATGCGTCCAAATCGTCCAATTATTTTCTACGACTACTCTCTATCTACAACCTATATTTACGGCTCGTGATTACACAATAAGATGAATCTAATATATTTTGCACTTTAAATAGTATAAATTACTATATAATAAAGACTCGGCATAATAATAGGCAGGAGCTAGGATATGGCAAATTGAAAAACACTATAATTGTATAGTTTTAAAAATTATATACCCGGCGTCCCATACTATACCGATGCAATTACTAAAAAAGCCGGATTAATTTCGTTGACATATAATGGACCTCATTTATGTATAGTGATGTATATACAAGTGATGTATGTGCATACAATTTACTATTTGATTATAACTCATAACTCTTTGCCGGTAGTCGTTATGTCATGTTTATATAATGACCAGGTATATAATCGTATAATAGTGTCGGAAAGTATCTCTCTTTGACGGACATATTATTATTTCTTTTCAAAACCAAAAGAACTACACTGTCCATATTATATTATTATCTTATGGTTTTATATTCATTTAGGTGTATATAGAAAACGTCCACGTATATAGAGTTTTGAGACGGCGGCAGAAAAGAGACAATAATGTAGAGCAAATCGAATTGTAACAATAATCAACCGTGGCCATTTACTCGGGAAAAATTGTAATCTGCAGAAACAACTTGCGTTGAAAGTATTGCCGTTTTCTATTTCTTTACAAGTGTTATATTATTACGCCTAGATAGTTTTCGTTTCACCCTGACTATATGTTTCTCATCTGCTTTGGTCAATCAAAAAATAATATATATATACAGAATTACAGACACTATGATACTATGACGACGCTTTCCAAAAGACTGGAAGGAATAACCGTCAGCGTAATCTGTCCTACCGCGCACGACGACGACCAAAACGAATCGATACAACAATTTATTTCCCGCCATTAATTGTCGTTTTCATAATTAAATTATTCCATTATATAGTTTTGTGCCAAAAACTTGAAAATAATATATTGTTACTTATACTCGCGAGTGAAAACAATAAAAAAATCCTAAAGCATGGCAGTTATATTTTTAAAATTCCGAATTATACTTAATATCCCGTCGCTATAATGCAGAAATAATAAACAAGGATCAATTAAAAAAAAAAAAAAACCCAATCAACAGCAATAATAGTAAACATATTAAACGCGTAGTCCATATTTTGAATTTGTTTTCAAAGTATAAAACCATTTAGAGACTTGAATACTCGCAGTATTCTTTAAGTATCAGAAATAATCGATAAAATACGTCCGCAGAGGATAAAATCATAATTATTATTATTGATTCGTATATAAGACGGTGTATACCCATTATGAATGAATAACAATTTTTTTTTTTTTTTAGTTATTGCATACTAATATTACATATACAAGCTCCGACGCGTTAAACCGAGTTAATCATTCATCAATAATTCAAATAATTAAGAGACCCATGGTACCGATATTGTGACGTTAATATATTACAATTTACAATATTTAATTCATAATTTTTTAGACAATCGTCATAAATAAATATTTTTATCAAAATGTATATACGACAACGCCAATTGAATTTATTCGCATTTATTTATTTGATAATATTATATTGTTTTTTTTTTTTCTTAGAATTCGGCCGGATTTCATTTAACGACCTTTACGCGTGAATAAAATTGGCAAATCATCGTCGTTATAATAATATGTACATTATACATGGTAGTTTGACCCATTAACCATTAATTTTGACCCGATTCGGATGTCCGAAAAAACATTTCTAATAATTATATTACTATATATAGGTATCGCCTACTCGCGAAAAACACCCGCGGAACATTCCGTCGGTCACGTACCGTTAAATGCAAAAAAAATAACACTGCGCACAATTCAAAGGTTCATAAATGCCGTATTATTAATATCGTAATCGCATGTGGGAAATTATTTATATATACCTAGTTGAACACATTAAAAATAAATAAAATGACACAGCGATAATTATATTATTGTTTTGTTGATAAAAATATGTTCCGTTATAAGTAGGTGTTTGTTTATTTATTGTTATAACCCATTATTATATTTTTGTTGTTTTTTTTTTCTACTTTCCGTAGTGATAAATCCCATCACTACAGTGCGCGCTGCAGTCAATTGAAAATCCGTTTTAAGTGATCCCGACACTACAAAGCAGTTAAGTATAGCATTTCCGGAGTTCAGTATAATAGTCATTCGTCATATACATATATAACGAAAATTATTTAACTATGGGAACCAAAAACGAAATAATACATTTTTGAACTTGAATAAAAACGTATACACTGTAGTATTGTACACTACAGGATGATTCGCGGCGGTCTGACAAATTTACAAGCGCAATGCTTTTGTTCTGTTCAGATATTTTTATTTTGCATTCGAGTAATACCTAATAACTTGGCCCCTTGTGCCGTGATTTTTAGAAGAAAAAAACTTCATTAAATCGAACAGCACAAAAGTTATTGCATTTACCAAAGATCACCGTGGATCATCCTGTAATTATATACAAGTATGCGTACTACAATTTTGTATTATTATTTACTACTTAAAAAATATAAAATCCTTTATTTGACTGGCGTCGCAAAGTATACCCATAGGTCATGATAAAATCAAAATACCTACTTAAACAGTAATAACCCTACATACGACATTATATTTTAATGTAAGACTTTGTAAATAAAACGAAACTCGTAGATTATAATATTATTCTATAAATCCTGCATGCAGCGGCCGTTTTAGTTCGGTTATTTCGCATTGTGCTTTTAATACTGTTGAAACGGACTAATAAATTATTGTATCAAAGGTTAGGTATCGGGCGAAACAGCGACGATAAAATAATAAACCGAATTTGCATATAACTCGAGAATTTGCATGTAGGACCTAACTATACATACACGAGTATTATATTATACTTAAAACGAGGATAATAAGTAATATATGCGAGTATACAAATAAAAAAAATAAACGCTAATAAAATTATAAAACTACGATAGTGACTCATCGCAGGTAGCCCGTATATTATTAAAATGTAGTACGGCTCGTTTCATCTGTAATGACGTCGTCCACGGTATTATTATTTCTAAACGCATAATCGAAAATTGAATAGCTATGATTTCTGCAAGGTTCAAAAAAAATAAAATAATAATAAAAACATACAAAATAAATAGCATTTCAATGAACATTAACGTGTAAGGTGGTGTAAGTGGTCTCCTAGAAAACTGATAACAATAATATCAGAAATTATGGCATGTTTGTATTTGTATTTTTTTTTTATCAATTTTCGCGGTAAACCGAACGTATATCATATTGCTATCTTATTTTGTAACACAATTCGAATTAATTAATTATTCGATTTTTTTTTTTTTTTTTTTGTGATTTTATCCGTCCGTCCATCCGTCGGTCGAATATATGCAGAACCATTAAGGTGTTTCGAACGCGTATAATGGAGAACCCATCAATAAATGGACAGAACACGTTGTACGTGATATCCTACAGGAAAGAGAAAATCGTGCGGCTACGGTCATATGCGCGATACACAATACAGTATACTGCAGTGCGGTGGTATGCGGAATAGAAACTACAATGAATATAGGTAAGTGCATAATAATAATAATACACAACCGATAAAAATTACTGGAAAAAAAAAAAAGGTCCTGGCAAATAATATACGCTCTTAAATAATTGTATAACATTGTATTATTGTATTCGCGGTGCCTATACGATAAATATAAAACGGATAGTTGTGTAAACGGATTTTATAATATGGAATAATGCACACATAATACAGGCATAATTATATTTGAAATGCATTCCTTTTTTTTTTATTATTATTTTTAACGGGCTCGTTTATAACTGCAGCTGATTTGCCTATACGTGCCTATATTATAGTATATATATTATTATAATAGAATTAAGTCGGTAAGTGGTTATTTCCTCATGGGGGGGTCCCCTTATACTATTTACGTTTTTTATTATACAACCACTTAAGGCTATGGCGAGAGGAATAACAATAATTATTAAATACATTGAAAAAAAAAATATATATATATATAATATATAATAATAGATACTATAAGTCACTTAAAACAAAATTATATTACGTCCGAAATAAAATAAAAACCAAAGCGCAATATTAATACGTAACAATTCATATTCAGTAGCATATTCAGCATTATGATATTATTACGGGGCGTGGGAATCATAAAATAAAAATAAAAAATTAATAAAGTTATAGAAAATATAACTAGTTATAGACATAAATTACATATTTTCTGATAGAAGTTGGTACAATACTTAGCACCTACTACACCAAATAAAGTCAATGGGAGGAGGGGGATATAAGACCCTCACCCACCCGCCCATAAGTAATTCCCTGTTATAAAGCAAGCACAAGCAATTATATTTACAAATACAACAACCGATTTAAAAAAAAAAAATTTCGAGTCATTAAAAAATATAATTCGCCCGTTTTCTTTAATAATGAATAGGTATAGTATTTTAAATTTTAAATCGTAGTTTAGGTTTTTATTTTTTTGAAACATACATTACGTTAGGAGTACCTACATTATATCGATTAATTTATTTTATTTTACATATTATTAATTACTATAATAATTTGAATGCATGTTCAGTGTACATATTCGAATCAATTTAGATTAGGTACAACAATTATATGCAATTATGGAATACGAAAAAATATTAGTGGCTGGTTGTTAATAAAGCAATTCAATTAAAAAAAAAAAAATGTTAAGCTTTTTATTACATTGATTCTTTATTAAACCGAGTTGATAATTAGTATTATTGAACCAAAATGATACTTCGACGGCGGCGCCCTAATAATATATCCGTGTACACATACATGGCTCCTATATTAAGTAATTCGTTCTAAATCGAGAATTCGACATCAATAGAAGAATGTCTTGGTTTAAAAATAATTTTCGTTAAATAGTAATATGACCTTTTTAAATGGAATCTTCCCGAAGGATTATATCTCTAAATTGTTAAGTCCATGCCAAGTCCATACCAATAAAATCGATTTTTTTTTTTTTTTTTTTTTACGTGCGATTCTTACAGACATTCAAACTCGCTAATTTAAAATAATATAGGAGACTTAAAATATATTAATTGTTCAGTGGTGACGTAATATAATATATTGTAAACCAACCGGAATGCGATTCGATGTAACAGTATAGAATATTGTTATTTTTAGTATTTTAATTTCTTCGATCCAATTAAATAACATATTATTATTGAAACAAAATATTACTTTACCTTGCATAGAGCGACGCCGGTATCGAGTCTGTCCATAAAATTGTTTACGTTTATGTAGAGCTCGGGATATAAACCGTTCAGCCATTCAGCCAAATCCTCTTTCATGGCGTAAAGATATTCTTCACTGGACTTGAACGGCCGAAACGACCGTGATTCTACTAACAATGCCATCTGCACGAGGAAAAAAAAAAACTTAACATTAATACACCTATAATATTATTATCTTACAAATACCTCTATATACTTAACGCTAATAATATAATGCGTACGGCGGTTACAAAGTAACGTTGGCTATACTATAGGTATACCTATTTAGCTGAATTTATAATGCTGTAACGCGCGCGGGTCAAAATAATTACTCGCAAACGACAACAGTAATATTCTCGTGTGCATAATGTAACCGGGGGCCGACTGATGGGGTCACAGGCCAATCGTGGATCACAATAATTATTGTCATGATCACTCGAAATACCTTGCGCGTTACCGCGATAGGTTTCACCTTACACACCGCCAAATTCATAATCACTTTTGTTTGCCAATCAAAAAGTACCGAAACAATTATCGAATGTTTCCCATTCCGGACACGGTGCAACAGGGTATCTATCTATCTGATGTTCAATGAATATCAATTATTATCATACAACATCTATTATGAAACAGAGGTGAAAGGTCAAACGATAGTTTTCAATATTACATATTATTTTTATTTTAGGTAAGTGTATTTACGATTTTCTATCGCTTTTATTTTCTACTATTCGTATATTACAAATTAAGCGCACCATTAAAATATATTCACCTATCATAGTATACAAACCTACAGTACAAACTAAACAATTTAAACGAAACGAAAAAAGAAAAGAAGTCTCATTCATAAAAAAAATATAATAATAAAAATGATACGGATAAAAAAACTATTTTAAGTTTGCCTGCTGTAATACCTATCCGAAAAAAAAAAAAAAAACAACGATATGACATAAGCAAAATGCCCTTCCACACATTCGATTTATTTTGCTCTACTCATATTCGCCGTTCATTAAAATCAATGAAACTACGCTGTAAATTTTGATTATCACGGATAATTCGCTATGCTGAGTTCATACACCCGGATACCATTGTTGTCATTTTGTAATTGATTACTGTTCTTTTTTCTCCTTTTTAATTATTATAAACGCGTTATATGAAAACAGAAAAAAACTTCTGAAATAAGAATAACCAAAAACTTTTTTTTCATTAAATTCCATTAAGTCAGTATGAAATAAAAGTTTTAACAACTTCTTAAAATATACAACGGATCACCAAAACTGAATTTAAATTACATAAAAAAAAAATATATATAAGCAACGGATTACAATTGTCGGGCGTTGACAATCATTTCACATCGCTCAACTAACCCAGAAAATATCGGTTTAATATTATTTTAAATAATTCACAGATTTAGATTAGAAGAATAATTCAAATTTGAAAAATATTTGCAGACAATAATTTTTCATAATTTCCCTAAACAATTTTTTAATTTGCGGTGAATTCGAAAAACCGTATCATTCTAAACCGACAGCATTTACGCGGGATTTATTTCTACACTAATAAATATCCACATTCAAACGGTTTTGTTGCGTGTCTCGAAAACAATTTTAAAATTTAAAAAAAGGACGGACAGCCATTGCACATGCAGGTGCAGCCACTTTTGCAGATGGAAAGTTGGGAAGGTAGAATACAGACGTTAATTAAATCTTTATCTGTAAACAACGATAAACCGTTGCTAACGAAAAAACGATTCTGAGCGGAATTCAGTTGATAATGTTACTTTTTCAACAATATATACATTTTAATATGGTAAAATGATTATAACAATGTGCATTTCCATGACAGAAATGATTGTTTAAAAAATATTAAAATAATAAAAACTTAATAATAACAAAAAATGAATAAAAACTGTTGCCAATGACAACTTTATTTTTAATCTTTCAATTTTTACTAACCAAAACACTAGATTTTCCTCATCAACTCGAATATAAATGAAACTTTCAAAAAATGACCTCTTAAAGTACCATAGAGAACCTAGAGAACATTTCCTTTCAGAAAAAGTGCTATACTTGAGTAAGCTTTCTGGTCGAAAAAGTATTTATATAAAATAATAAACATCATTGTAAAACCAATACATTCCTCGCTCCACTTACAATCTAAAATATAAATACATCAAACTAGTTGTTACAAAATACGTAATATTTACATTATAGTTACGTTAGATATATTATAATATATCAAGTTTAAACATTTACATAATTATTATTTATTAATGACTTTACAAATATGTAATTTAGAATTATAATACTTCGCACTATGATTATGGTTAAGCCGCTGTTTTAGACGTATAGGTGAGAAGGAGAAATTTTACAAACGTACTAAATGCAACGATAAATCGTAACGGTTCTGAGTAAAGTACAGAATTAATTGTTTACGAACGAATTCTTTTTTATTATATCAGGTTTTCACGACTTAAAGGGACATTACCTAGACTGAACTGTACGTTTTGTTAAATGACGTTTAATAGAGGACCACCCACTACGTAGATTATCTATTTAAAGAGATACTAATCGTAATTATTGGACATTGTTTACTATCATCCAAACAGAAGTTTTGAAAAAAAAAACCAAAAATAGGTACATACTATTGAAAACCAAATACCTAATACCTACTTCATCACTCAGCTCACAACTCAAAACTATTTTAAATTGATAATAATAACTAGACAATATTATAGTAGGTTATCATAAAAATATTTATTTATACATTGTGCAATTATAATCCTCGTACAGGAACTGCTTATCGGTCGGGAAAAAGTTGGGAAAATATAATAGGTACATAGAGTAATTTAATTTATATCTGAACACAACGATAATTGCTATGAAAAAAGAAACGATTTCAAGCAGTTTCGATAATTATGTATAAACATTTTCATTAGTCGATCATTCTTTAAAATGGTGTACACAAAATTAAATTGAAATGAAAAAAAAAAATCGATATTTTAAATAGCTATGAATATTTAAAAGCTAATATTCGGTGAAAACGTCCGGTCTCTACGATTATTTTTAACTGAAATTACAAAACATAAAAAAAACAAACGTAATAACATAGATTTTTTCGCTGTTCCCAATAAAATTATTAAAATAACTCTACAGGGGGAAATAAAAAAACGACCTTTTCAAAGCATAAAATAGACAAAAATATTATACGAGTAGGTACTAGAAACCGTCATTGAAACTAATCGCAAGATTTCCGATAAAAAAAAGTTGTTTATTGATAGACAAATGAAGCACAAATAAAAATAAAACCAAAACTCCCTACTCTCAGCAAATCTAACAATATGTACCAAAAATGTCGAAACAACTTTTATGAACAGTAAGTACTAAGTATATTAGTAATCTCTTGTTTGTATGGCATATCGTTTTACTAATTTTAGTGCCGTTCTCACCAACCTAAACGCTTTAGTTTATCCGATTTTAAAACATAGTTTATGGCTGATAACCAGCTATGAATGATCAGTTATCTTATAAATTCTGTTTGATAATCAACGTGTATGTTGGTGAGAACGGGCCTTTAATCTCTTTTAATTTAACGACTAAACGAAAACCTTGTATAATTACACACATATATATTTACAGATTACAAGTCCCAACATTGAATAACGAAAACCTTTTGATAAAATAACGGACATTTAAGAAGTTTAATTAAAATATGAAATAGTATTACATATTAAATTGTATATAAATATAGCTTAATACAAATTATTATTGCATCATGCAAGGATTTTTTATAAATATATTTAAACACCTAACCTGTAAGGTATTTAATCGCACCTAGCAGCCGGTGTAAAACCGGCTACGCTAATTTATAATTATTATTTGTTGTTCTGGTTTTTTTTTTTCAGTTTTCAATAACGACTATTTATAATTTTTGATTCCGAGAAAAATGTTAGAATGAATTACGCAGGAAACTACTTTATATTATATCATAATATAATAGGCCCCCAGGAAATTGTATTGTACTTTTATAATAACAATATGTCCACTCATCGTATACGATTAATTTACCTACTAGTTAACAAATAATTCAGCTAGATATTCAGCCAGTATTCAGCTAGATAAAGCGTAATTTATAACAAAAACCAATAGGCATTAATAGCGGTATGAATAAATAGATATTTTTGGGAAAATATACCCAAAGTGCCTACATTATTCTTATTTTGTTTGAGAATAGGAAATTAAAAATAGAGAAGTACAATCTTTGTTTAATTATGTTCTGATTTATGATGTACGGAGACGATGTTAATTATAAATTTTAGATTTTATGATAAGTGGATGCCGAATTCAATGCAATAAATTAGTTCCGTATTTATTTAATTTAAACGAACAGCCTATATGTAAAGAGCTAAATTATTATGGTTTTATAATGACACATAAGTATTTTTGTTTAACATTTGACGTGTAATATTTACGAGTTTAAAAGAAAAATATAATCAATATTATGCTATAATTATATGCCATTATTAAAAATATCTGCGTATTTCATAGATAAAAAATTGAACAATAAATTATTGATACCTACTTGAGAGGGCAATTAGATTTCCATGTACTAATAACTCCGATAATTACCGAAATGGTGAGTATAAAGATTAATATAATACATATTTTATGATTTGTTGACTGTGTATGATAATATAGTATAGAAATCGCTTTAGGGCAGAATAATAATTTGAATTGTTATTTCGATAAAATTGAAAATAATAATTCAACGCTGGTTTACACCAGTATTCGCGAGACACCATACCCTGAAAAATTTACCTACCCACGAGAGCGGATACAAAAGGGCTCTCTAAGGGGCTAAAGACTCTCCTAGCATATAGGTACTAAAAATAAAACTTATACTGAATTATAATACATTAATTTAATTGTATTAAAAGTACGTTTTTAACGCACATGAAGTGAATTTTGTTTAGCCCCCCCCCCCCCTCTTATCTAATTCCTATACCCAACAACACTAGAGATAATAAATGTTTAAAATAAATATTAAGAGAACGTGGTGCTACCTCCCGTACTCAAAGGATTGTGCATTGACATTTTTGAAAAAATGAAAATTTATCAACTCAGAATTTTCAAATATACATACAAACA